AAAAAAAAAAAAAAAAAAAAAAAAAAAAAAAAAAAAAAAAAAAAAAAAAAAAAAAAATCAATCCAAGCCAGAGCAATTCAACGCAGCCTTTATCCTCTGAACTGTGGCACTGATGAGAGTATTCACTGTTGCTACAGACTCCACATTCAGCTGTTTTGAAGACGATACACTCGACACCAATATCTGGAACGCTACCGTTAACAGAGACCCGCTCGGCCTCCCCGAGGTTGCACTGGTTGAAGCTCCGACTCCTGAATGAGAACGGCCATCCCCCGTGATTACGAACCCCGATGGAAGTATCAGTATCTCCGATGGGTCCTGACCGCTTGTTGCAATGTTCATAGCAGGCATGTCGATGGGTGCATAAATGACCAAGGATCCTAGTGGATCTATGCAGCTTTCTTGAAGAATCAGCATGTTGTTCTCAGTAGGGACGAACGGCTGCTTCATAAATCATTCACATGAACAACCCTCAAACCTTAATAACTTCAAATCTAATGATAAAAAATGAAATAGATGGTTAAGATAATCCAAAGATTTCTAGCTAATTTCACTGACATCTTCCCTGAAAAACTCACTTTTTCAAGTAGTATGAAACTGAAACTCTAGAACATTTGAATTAGTTTGTCTATGGTTTACGAATAGCAGAAGTTAAAAGGAAAGTACCCGAATTATCAATATCGAGTTTCCGGGATGAACTCCTGTTAAGATGTGTGCAATTTCATGTACTGGGCTTCCATTAGACAGAACATCCCACTGGAACATGAAATGTTGACAAGTTTTCACTTTATCTATCAAGGGAACAAGAAACAATCAAGAAAAAGAAGTGTGTGGTATTACAAACCTGAACTCTGGCCTTTTCATCCTTGAAGAAATTGAAGATGCTTTCAGGTTGTAGGGGAAGCCAAAGGGATGTCGCTGCACTAACGATTGTCCCACTGGGCTGCCCCAGCTCGGAGCTAATCCGAACAGAGATTCGAACACCGCTGTTGTTCACTTCGGATAGCTGGGGGAAATCTAATTTACCTGACATGCTCAGTACGCCACAGAAATTTTTTACCATTCTGTGTGACAGCTTCATGATGCTCCTCCTACCTTCATTAGAAGTTAACACTGAAAAACAAACAAACCTTTTCGTTAGAGATCGAGTTTGATGAAAAGGGAATATCATTTTTATCACAAGCGAAAGGTGAACTTTTACCTCCTCCAAGTTCATGGCTAGGTGCACAATCCCTGAATGTGTAAGCCAATCTCTCACACATCCTTTGAAGAGTGAAAACCCATCGTTCAGCTCCATATGCCGTAGTATTGAACACAAGATCCCGATATAGCCGGTGGGTTTGTGTTTTATCATCCACTTCCACATGCTCGACCCAGGTAACCTGTCAACGAAGATGTATGATAACAAGATACAAGTGCCTTGTTGAAGGAAAAAATGGCTGCTACTGCAATAAACTAAATTCAATATTTATATAACAGCCAACCTTGAGTGACCTATATAAGTGACGAGAAAGTAGCACATAAATAATTCATAACGGTCTCTAATACACATCAAATGCATGGATATTTCTTCCATGGCATAACAATTATGTCGTAATAGAAGGACGTTGACATGGCACATATTCATGCCTCATTCAATAGAGTACCTTCCAAGGAAAATAATTAGCGTAAAACACAAGGGGAACAATGAAGTTAATGCCAAGGCAGTGATTTCATGGATATTAATGTTGACAGTGGCATCTAATGGGATACTGACTTGCAAATCTTTCATAAGCAATTTTGCGGTGACTAAGGTCCAGCAGCATTAATTAAAGCCCCAAGATCCAAGAAAGAAGGGAAGAGATCAATTATTAATTAAACAAGTTACTAACCTTAGAGCAACCATTGGGCATTTCTTGAATCATGCACCCAGAAGGAAGCCTCCAGCAGCGGGCAGATGTGACACAATCCTTCAAAAATTCATATGAAACGTCCACTATTACCCAGACACCATGCTCGATCTGCTGACAATGTCGAAGGAAGCAGAAATCTCGAGGCGACACAAGTGGTGAAAATATGTGCATTTGTTGATACATCTGCATTTATTAACTTTCATTATCTACCAAGTTGCGCAGAAATAAAACGCCAAACATAAACAAAAAAAAAATGTGGAACATGATTTCGTACCAACTGCAAAGCGCCACTGCGATTTCCAGGCATCCCGGGGTCAATAATATGAAACGTCTCTGCATTTATAATGACAGTTGGAAAAAGATCCGCCCATTTATCCTATGTAATCGAATCAATTGCCAAAGTAAATATCTCTCCAAGAGTGGAAACAACAGTCAACTTTTTACTAGGTATAACAGAAATAAATAGCTATCAACACTGACCGCATCTAAAAAAGCATCAACCAATTGCATTGCACTCATTGTCACCACTCCTGAAGCTTTCGAGGATTCAGTACGAGCGTTAGAAGATTTGAAGTGATTGGGTCTAGGAAATATTTTTTCATAGCTGTCACGATTAAGAACACCCCTCCCGTCATTGAGGATCTTCATCCACAAAGGCTCATCGATCCTCAAAAGTCTGATTAACTCTTCCAAGGCAGTTGCAGCAGTTTCCATCATGAGAGCGTTTTCCAAATCATTAATACCTCTTGATTGATAAGGTGTTGCTGTTCTATCTAATATTACAGGATCAGACATAAGATTCACTGCAGGACTTAGAACTATTTGGGTAAGGGAACTTCTCGGTGACAAATCGAGTGAAGATCCAAGAACAGGCAATAGTGATTCAAGTTGTGATATCGGTTTTCCAATGTACTTGGCAAGAAGGTTAGACACTTTTTCATGCTGCAAAACAATCATAATCAAAACCATTGAAGTTGATGGATTCATATCATGAAAAGATACTAAATCATTGACAATTCAGTATTGTTAGGAGAAAACATAAACAGACGTTCAACTTCCAAACATGAAAATTACCTCTTCTTTTAAGTGAGCGTTTTCAAGACGCAGTTTATGGAGATTGCGCTGCCGTTCTTCTTCGCCAAACGGTGGACCGCCACAGGATGGACAGATGACATTCCTCAATGCTTCTCTAATTGCAAGATTTTCACATTGAATCTTTTCATTCTCTGTCCGAAGTGAAGAGTTGTCTGCTCGCTCATTCTGAGTCTGTAAGAGGGGAAGAATGAGTCTCAATTGATGGGAAAATAAGAACAAACAAACAACTTCCTTACAAGCCTGAGAAGATTCATTCTACCTTAGTTTGAGTCCTCTTGTTTTGAAACCAAAATTTGATCTGTTTGGTCTCAAGACCAAGCTCTCGACTCAGCTGGCGCCGCTGATTTTCATCAGGGTGTGGGCATGCCCTGAAAAATCTGGGAAACAGACAGAAACAATTCGATTTGTCTTAGAAGGACACACATGCATGCATAGGCAAACAAGGGGACATCAGATCGTTGAGACCAAGATCCCTGCAGACATCATTTGTAAGACTTGAGAGAAGGATCAAACATGTGAAGTTTTGTATAGTTCTAAGGGAATGCCCAAAAGAGTTAAACAGATTCAACATGCAGCTTCAGAAAACACCAACAGGATACAAGGACAGGCCCACAAGAACACATGAACACGAGGGAGGCAACAAAATTCTTCCCGGTCTGTGAAATGAGCAGACAAACGACAAAGGAATCACAAAGAACATACACAGAAAAGAAGGTGAGAGAGGTCTTACGATTCAAGTTGCTGAATCTGGTAAGGATTATGACGATGGTAAGTCTTTTTCCCCTTGCGATCATTAGAAGCTTCTTGTTCATCACCTGACCCACCGCCATAACTCCCACGACCTTCCATCATAAAATCCATCCTGACCAACCAGTAAGAGATATCCACTAAACGGAAGAAGTAGAACTTGAAATTCCCACAAACGGGAGCCGCGAAAACTTTTAGTAGCGCAGCCTGTACTCGTTTGTAAACAACATTGAAAATCACAGACAGGATAAATAGAATGCATAGCATCCATCCAGTGAGGGTCGAGTCCAATTTCCAAATAAGGATACCAAATCAACACCAAAACAAACGCAATAAATGGAGAGATATCCCTGAGTTGGGTATTGGATTTGGTATTTTTCGGGGTTAATTGGTATGTGCAACACACTCTCTCTCTCTCTTTTCCTCTGGCAAAGTTCTTGCAGATTTCAGCAAGAAAAAGTGAAACCAATGAAGTCCACTTGTTCACTCGACAGAAGAAAACATCCAAAAAGCGGCGAAAAAGAGGGTACGGGAGAGAGAAATTGAATTCCAGAGAGAGAAAGTACCAAATGCAGAAAGGGAGCCAATGGAATGAGAGGAAGGACGAAGAATCTGAGGTTGATTCCCCATGCTACGTTGTTGAACTTCAATTTCCTGTGAATCATTTCGTATCGCACTGCTAAAAACAACAATTGAAGATAAGATAATGACGAAAACGAATTGAGGGATCCAAAACAGTAAAGAAAAAGATGAAGGATTCTTTTCTTTTGCTCTTTCAAGCTCCGGATTGTGTCAGAAAACTAAGAAATTCTTCACCAACACGAATCACAACTGGAATTTTGGTCTCGGTGGGAAATAGGAGCATATTCAATTCGGCGTCAGACGTTTGAAATGGTTGAAATGGAAAATTTTGATATTCAAATCTTCGCCTTTTCCCTTTTCTTCCGGTTTCCTTCAATTTGCTTTTTGTTGCATCAATCATTCACCATTTCTAATGCAAATTATTCACTTTCCGACTTTCATTCATTTTCTTTCTCAAAACTTTAATTTAATCATTCAAAATCTTAACCTAAAATTAAAAAAAAATATACGAAGTAATTAAAGCATTTGAGAATGATTCTTTAGCTATGAATTTAACATAATTCTTCTTTAAATCATTGCAATTCTGACTTATGATCAACGATTTAATACGTTTTTTTTACGTTATTTATGTACGAGACGACAATAGAATTAAATTACATCCAAAATGAGCGACCCAATACAACATCGGTCATAGATTTTTTTTTTTTTTTTTTTTTTTTTTTTTTTTTTTTTTTTTTTTTTTTTTTTTTTTTTTTTTTTTTTTTTNTTTGCATCGATGTATAACAAATCATTATTGTAAAAATTGATATTTTTCGATTCATGAAATGAATAATAAAGAATTACAGGGTAGATATTGTTTTGAAACTATCCCGAAGTAACTGATCATATAAAACAACTTTCAATAAACTACTTACAACTATGCATACACGCTGGCTCGAGCTTAGCAAAACTCGTGAATATATAATAAGAACAAGAGCTTAGCAAAACTCGTGAATATAAAATAAGAACAAATTGAGTGTTGAGCTCAAATTAACTCGTAGTGTTTGCCTTGTGTTAAGTGTGAACGTACACATATTATGTTGCACTCTTCTTGTTTGCTTTGGAGCTTAGTGTATCAAAATGATTTAACAGCTTGTAATGGTCCAAAATGCACTAGAGACGTTAAGAAAACATGAACTTTACATGTGAGAGATTTTACAAGCTGCTGCTCCACTCAGTCTAATCCTCACCACACCTACCTTATTTGAACCATTTTACAAGAGGTGAGACTTTAAGATGGGAGGGAAGAAAGTTTTTAAAGGGTAACGGACAACACACCTTAGACGAGCATGACTGTAAAAAGTTATATGCTACTTAAGTCAGTGTATGGCATTTTGCTTGTATGTCACATAACATTGTTTTCCATCTCTCTTAATCTTTGCTTTCAAACTCTCTTTCAAAATTTCTTTACCCCGTTTTCTAAATCCTTTTTTTCAAATTGAGGCCAGAGGCTTGAGCATATGTTACCCAACCGTAGGCGACGCGTGTATTGACTTGACTCACTTGTTGTTGGAAAATGAGTACCGCACAATCACAAAGTACGCTACCAAGAAAAGTGCGAAATAAGCTAAGATTGTGGTAGTAATGCCAAGAAGTAAAACAAAATGATCATAAGCAGTAGCTTGGACGGTATACATTCGGAGCCTTGTGGTATACCAATTGCTCTGTCCAAACAGAATCGACAGCCCCCAGCGGGGCTGATGAATTTGGAGGAAGCACATTCCAAGGTCCAGATTTGAACTTCAGTCTTGTTGAGTATGCTCCAACGTACCTCTAGCAAATAACTACAGATATTTAAAAGAGAAGGGACGCCATTTTTACAGGGCATTGTGCAGTGTACCTACTATGCAAGTTTAATAAGAACAAAACTAAGAGTATAGTATGGGGTTGCTCGGATTGGATGTGGAAGCAATCGGCCCTGAAACAAACAGAGCTTCTCCATATGACCATCCATGGAACAAATTACATACAAGTTTGACACATTTGCAGGTTTTAACATTATTGAATTTAATTTAATTGGAGTTCTTTTTATTCCCGGATAAAAAAAAAGAAGCTCGTTACAAATGGTATTAGAGCCAGACACTGAGTGATGTGCCGATGAGAAGGCTGAGCCCCGAAGGAGGTGGACAAGAGGCAGTGTGCTAACAAGGACGCTGGGTCCCAAAGGGGGGTGGATTGAGGGATCTCATTATCGATTGGAGAAGAGAACGAGTGCCAGGGAGGACGTTGATCCCGAAGGAGGGTGGATTGTGAGATCCCACATTAGTTGGAGAGAAGAACGAACTATTCTTTATAAGGGTGTGAAAACCTCTCCCTATCAGACGCATATTAAAAACCTTGAGGGAAAGCCCGAAAGGAAAAACTAAAAAATGACAATATCTGCTAGCGGTGAGCTTGGGATGTTACATTTGGATTCTGTGAACAGACTGAGCTAGTATTCTCTTAGGAATAGATGTTCTGTCAGCCAAAAAAATTCCAAACAAATATTGAAACGTCATGAACATAACCAGAATAAGGAATAGAGGAAGGTTCATCAAGGATAAACGATGAGTAAAGCAAAGCAGTTTGCAATGAACAACAACAATGGAAAAGGAAGAAAAGAAAAGAACATAGCCAACTTACGAAAATCATCAAGGTGACTCTGGTAAAATTGATTGGTAAAGCTAGTATGGAAGTCTTCTAATACCGCCCCAGATATCTGCGAGTTCTGTATGGACCAAACAAGCTTGTCAAATAATCTGGTCTCAAACCATAAATTGAGGGACTTTCGTTTCTTATTTTGTGTTTTTTTTCTTTGAAAAAATAAAAAATATTAGAGAGAAAATAATAGTATCATCAAGTATGTTGTTGAAAACCTGGGTTAAAAATGCCATCAACGAAGATGGTTGTAACAGCCCAAGTCCACCGCTAACAGATATTGCCCTCTTTGGACTTTCGTTTTCGAGCTTCCCCTCAAAGTTTTTAAAATGCGTCTACTACGAAGAGGTTTCCACACCCTTATAAGGAATATTTCATTCTCCTTCCCACCCGATGTGAGATCTCACAATGGTGGTATCCCTGGATTTGTAGTACTAGCTCGTGACTCTCGAGCAAGCTTCAAGACATTCCATGTGTCATTCTTGGAAGATGAAACCTACAGAAGCAATATCTTACTATAATAATAGGTTCAAATAAAAACTTTTATCCAACATGATTGTGTAGATTGTGTAGTTACTCTGTGCATCATAAATTATGAAACAAAATACCAACAGAATAGTTGGTGATATTATCAGTGCACCATATCGAGCTAGTATAACAAAATAGATAAAGTATCCAATATGAAAAAAAGTAATGGCCTTAAACTCTCAAGAGTTTGGATGAACATTGTATCAAATTTAGAACACAATTAAGATGGAGTGAAGTTGTAACATTTTGCATTTTTACCTTATCAACCAAAAAATATCAATGAGGGGAAAAGAGACATCTTTTTTATTTTCTGTTTTTTTTTAATAAGAGACAAATTTATTGATAATTGAAATTTACAAAAGGAATGTGTTATCCCATCATTCTTATAAAAGACGTTCTCAATTTACAATGAGGAAGGTATAACTATAGGAAGCAAAAAGTGTTGGATAATTTACACCAATAAATGGTGTGGTAAAGGTAAGCAACATTTTTTAAGAGACTAGTATAAGTATGTGTCTTCTATGTGAATACTCTGTCTTTCTTTCTTTTCCTAGATTCCAAAATAAAGACATAGTGAGGTTTGTCCATAGAAGATTTTTTTCATTTTTGAAGGACGGTACATAATGTTCCATAACTTCTTTATCTACCTAGAAAAAAGTGAGGTGTCATCCGAAAATATTGAGAATATTTATCCATAAATTATAAGCATAGGTACACTGCATAAACAAGTTATGTGATTCGTTGTCTTTCTTGCCTAAAGAGCACCAATTTGGAAATAGAGCTAAATAAGAACGAACCAGAGTGATATAAAACAAGAAAAATTATATATAAGAAATCGAGCAGAAAAATGAAAGGATGTATAAGTTCATACAAAAAAATGCCCACAAAAAGAGTCTCAAGTTCCACCGCTAACTGGACAAACGGGCTTCAATCCAAAAGAATGAGACCGTACTAGTAATTAGAAAAAACACAATTACTGGACACCCATAGAGGTGCATTCAACCTAGCAACCTCCCAACCCATCTTGCAACAAGAAATTTTCATGTGCATTTGCAAGCAAATCCAAATATTATTTTATTGACCAAAAGATATATAGCACAATCCAAGACAAATACTCCCTTGAGCTTAATTTGTTTTCCCAAGGCTTGCCATTATAGAAAATAGAGTAAGCAACATTTGACATGCAATTAAAGATCCTGTTTCTTCAAAAGATCTTTTAGAAATGAGACTGGAACGAAATCAATGAATCTTCGAGGAAATATTTTATTCAAGGTCGAATTGTTTTGAGATTATCAAGATTAAGGCTTTTCATTGGTGCTCCCTTTCAAAAGCTTTTGAGGGTAACTCTTTACAGTATTTTAGTTACAATTGGAATGCTTTCTTGTAAATTTACGCATTATTCACTTTATTTGTCCTTATCACCCAGGTGCTCTTTCTTTCTTTCTTTTCTCAGTCTACACATTGTAGTCAGATTTTTATTTGTCCCTGTAATCTCTGTCATTAATGAAAAATCTCGTTTCCCGTTCAAAAAAAAAAACTGTATATTCACATATCTTTAACTTTTCCTAGGGAGGTTTGGGCAGTGTTTTAGACCCAAACCCAGAAAATAATCCTTATAAGGGAATGAAAATATGTATGAAGCAAGGGATTATATATAAAAATGTAGGAGACACCTAGTAAAGAAACTCGAGATTTCATCCATTGAAACTAAAATTGCAGATGGTTGCAATATCTCGTCGGTATCTTTGAAGTTAATCATTGGAACTACAACCTTTTCTCGTCCAGGATCTAAGGTACAGAGTAAGAAGACATGGATGATGCCACCTTCCACTAAGGGTTACGTTGAAACTAGAAAAAATAGTTGATTTTCTACAACTAGTGCAAAAGAACTTACTTGAACAACCGATTTCTCCAGAAAGATTGAGTAATCGAATGCATGGATAACCATCAACGACTAGGTACGTTGAATTTTGAAGACCCGAGTCCATCGAGTGTTCAGCTGCTTAATGCATTATCAAAAATGAAAACAGCAGGATCGATGCTTTGTAGTCAAAATAAAGATGCCCACTCAAAAAGAAGTAAAATTATAATTGAAGAAAGGATAAATTTGCCTAAACCCATAAGTATCCATCATTCAAGTGTGCTATTTTCTTTAAACTTCAACCCCAACTCCGCCTGATAACATAACCACTGGAAGGAGGAAAAAGTAATTATTTAGTATTCATGGGTCTTCAGTCCAAGCAAGTTTGCACACACCTTAACTAATAAAAAGGGCTACTAATAGTGAGTATGGGAGGAAAAGGCTAGTGTTCTGATTTTTTTTGAGAAATAAACCACTTTTAATTTTGATCTAAGCCAGGACTTCTAGCATGGTTAACAGATTGTTATACTCACCTACTTTAACAACCTAAATTCACCGCTAGCAGATATTGTCCTCTTTAGACTTTTATTTCTGGGCTTCCCCTCAAGGTTTTAAAACAAGTCTACTAGGAGGTTTTCACACCCTTATAAGATCTTACAATCCACCCTTTGGGGTCCCAGTAGAGAGAGGTTTCCACACTCTTATAAGAAATGCTTCGTTTCACTCTCCAACCAATGTGGGATCTCACAGTCCACACCCCTTGGGGTCCAACATCCTCACTTGCACTCCGCTCGGTGTCTGGCACTGATACCATTTGTAACGGTCCAAACCAACCACTGCCAGATATTATTCTTTTTGGATTTTTCTTTCCGAACTTCCCCTCAAGATTTTAAAACGCGTCTTCTAATGAGAGGTTTCCACACCCATATACAAAGAATGTTTTGTTTCCCTCTCCAACCAATGTGGGATCTCACACGTACATGTATGAGATGTGAGATGTTTTTCAAACAGTTTATGCAATTAAATTAATAAAATAAAAAGTTATTACATGGATGGCATTACTGAAACTATCGATCAAACAATGGGAATAGCAACATCTAAAAAATGTGCTTCCAACCTTCTGCCTCTTAATAGGGAGTTTGGGGAGCTCGGGAGAGAGGCTTCAAAAGGGGATGTCGTATGAAACAGAGAATAAGCTTCGCAGGGACGGACCAGTGTCTCCATTGGTCAAAAACGAATTACGTATATGCAATAAAAAGTTTAGGGGAGGCAAAAAAAAAAAAAAAAAAAAAAAAAAAAAAAAAAAAAAAAAAAAAAA